GTATGAGAGAACTTTTAAAAAGAATCTCCAGGTCTTTCTGCCAGGACGTTGCATCCTTTTCAGCCCAAATTGGCCCTGACAGGCATGGTCAAAGCCCGCCTCCTGAATGCACTAGATTGTGTCATTGGGGGATATAAAGAAAACACCTTTATTTAGTTTATCCCCTCCATTTTTTTTCTTTTTGTCTTTACGATGTCACTTTTTCTTTATCTCCCCCAGAAGAAAATATCCCACAGGACAAATCTCCCGTACCTATACTGGGACCTGGTGAGACCGCCATGTTTTCCACCCGTAGGCCGGCGAGGATGAGGGAGGTAGTGCTCTTCCCCTCATTGCCCCTGTTCGAACCCCGCTCTCCGTACTACTCGACCATGAGAAGTTTACAAAGTCTCGACTCCGCCGCGGCACTCGCTCGCAAGACGTCCAGGAAGCAGAAACAGGAAGAGGTCAGTCTGTTTGTGATATCTCTGAGTGTGTGTGTCATATGTGTGTGATTTCTGTTTGTGTGTGTCATCTGTGTGTGATTTATGTTTGTGTGTATCATATGTGTGTTTAGTTTTTAGTTTTAGTAAAGTTTTACGGCGTTCTCAGCTGCACAAGGTCATATGAGTGCCAAGGGGGTGGATGTCAACAGAGAAGTCCAAACGGGGAATCAGGCTTACTTTGCTCACCTCTCTAGCCGCAACAGCACTAGGTCTGCTTCGACTATCAAGGCACCCCCATAAATAGCAGTCCACAAGAGAGTGACAAACATACAAAGGAATTAGAGGAAAATTAATGACGACAGTAAGGATGATGAAAGAAAACAATATGTGTGTGATATCTGTTTGAGTGTGTCATTTGTCTGTGATTTCTGTTTGTGTGTTTCTTCTTGATGTGATATCCGTTTGTGTGTGTCATCTTGGTGTGATATCTGTTTGTGTGTGTCATACCTGTGTGTGATATCTGTTTGTGTGTGTCTTACCTGTGTGTGATATCTGTTTGTGTGTGTCATCATGGTGCGATATCTGTTTGTGTCATTTGTCTGTGATTTCTATTTGTGTGTGTCATTTGTCTGTGGTATCTGTTTATGAGTGTCATCTTGGTGTGATTTCTGTTTGTGTGTGTGTGTGTGTGTGTGTGTGTGTGTGTGTGTGTGTGTGTGTGTGTGTGTGTCATCTGTCTCTGCTGTTTGTGTGTATGTCATCTTGGTGTGAAATCTGTTTGTGAGTGTCATATGTGTGTTTGATTTCTGTTTGTGTATGTCATCTGTCAAGCGTTAAGATCTTGTTACCAATAACTCCATATCTCCAAACATTGACGAGCGCCTGAAAATGTAAAAAATTGTGTCGTGGTAATATGTTTTTATTCTGACGATGTTATTAAATAGTATCATTATTATTATTGTTATAATA